TAATTAAAAAATTAATTGATTTTATTAATTAAAAAATTTTATTTAATTAAAAAATTAATTAAAAAATTAATTGATTTTATTTCTTTTTAATCCAAATTATTTTTAATTAAAAAATTTAATCTTTAATTTAATCTTTAATTTAATCTTTAATCTAATTTAATTTAAATTAATCTTTAATTTAATCTTTAATTTAAATTAATATTTAATTAAAAAAATTAATTAAAAAAATTAATTGATTTTATTAATTAAAAATTTTATTTAATTAAAAAATTAATTAAAAAATTAATTGATTTTATTTCTTTTTAATCCAAATTATTTTTATTACTTAAAGCATTATTTTTAGCGGATACCCATATTTAAAATAGAAGTAGATACCCATATTTAAAGTAATCAAAACCGCTACTCAAATATGGGTATCCACTAATAATAACACTTGAATTAATAAAAATATTTCAGCTTAAAAAATGTTCATTAATTCTTTAGAAATCACTTTTTTTTTTTTTTTTTTTTTTTAAATCATTCCATTCCAAGCAAGGCAATAAAGCCACTAAAATACAAGAATTAATGAGTATTAGAGAATATGAGAAAAATATACTATTAAAGAGAGAGGACAATAAAAGAACAAGAATAAAACAAAAAAAGGCAGTAGATAACAATTGACATTGCATTTAAACTTTTGAAGTTGTCTGGGAAGCAAGAAACCAGAAGAATGTTCCACAAGGGAGAAGTGCAATAAAAGAAACTGTTAGCATAGAATTTATGGTTACATCAAGCTATTTCAACTGTAAAATGATGAGACCTTGCCACCAGTCTAGTACAACATTTAAATTTATAAAATCTAGGTACCATAGAACAATTACCATGAAAGTATTTATATTTCCACTCTAGAATAATTTGAAACATAACCATTAACACCTGCTAAAATAAGTTAGAATACAATCAACTACTCACAATGCATCATTGACCTGTATATTTTAATAGTTAAGCAAAAACATAACATAACACACATGGCCTGACAACTGGGGGTTTTATCAACCTAGCCCTCCACAAAGACTATATATGGATTAGGTAAGGATTCTTAGAGCAAATGGGGCATTATGGTGTCTGGGTGAAGCAGTGTTGTGTAGTTGAGATGTTTTGGTGAAAGGAACAATATACAAACGACTGGATCAGTGATTGAAGCCAGCTAAGTTATTGATAGGACAAGTAAAGATCAGTTCCCCCCTCTTTGCTATTTTGCCCTTGGGGTGTATTTGTGCAATAAATATTTGGCCTGATGATTGCATTTAATCATGAAACAGACTGTCATTTTGGGTGTTGACTTCAATGTCCACTTTTTGAATATATATATATATATATATATATATGCACACACAAAGTTACAGTGTGACTAAAAAGTAACTCCTTATTTTATGTATGATGGACTCTCCTATCTTACTATAATTTTTACAAGACAGAGAGTTTATCATACATAAAATAGGGAGTTATTTAAATTTTTTATATCATATATTATATATATATATATATATATATATATATATATATATGTGAAAATATATAGAAAATAGGAAGGAACTGGTTAGGTAAATAATCCAAAGTCCCTTAGTATTTTTAGTTATTATTTTTAAAAAAATAGTGCTTGATACAAAAAAGAGATAAATATAATTATTTATTTAAAATATTGATTCCATATCACGACAAGAAGTCCCATGTTTCAAAAATTTTCAAAACTTCAATATAATTATTTAAATTAAATTGAGTTAAAATAAGCTCTGTTCCATCTTCAAGCGAAATTTTTTAACTCAATTTAATTTAAAGAATTATATTGACGTTTTCGGCTCTTGTTTTGAAACATGGGAATTCTTATGTCGCGATTTGGAATCATATTTTTAAATAAATAATTATATATGTAAAATACTTTCATGACTGAATCTATTTCTTTTGAACATGATGAATTCCTTTCTTTGAAACTTCTTCATCACAATTCTTAAACAAACTTATGAGAACTTCATTCAAAAACTTTTGTTTCAAGTAATGTAGAGTGTCAACATCCTGATTACAGTATTTTCTTGTGCGTAATATGAGAAATTTTAAATGAAAATTAAAGGCAACAAAAAGAGGGGGGGCGTATTATACAAAAGTACGCATTTTCAGAAATTTTTACTTCGCTTCTAAAAACTTCATATTTGAAAACAACAAGATTGCAAATACACTCAGCACAATAGATAACAAAACACAAAGTAGGCAGGTGTTGATAAAAATCGTTTAGAAAAGGTGTTTAATATATTGGCAAATACTCACAAGACAGATTGAGGGACAAAGGAAAGCAGTGTGAAACATAATTGATGAGCTTGAGTGAATGGATGATAGAACGGGGTTTAGGAGAAATAACAAAAAGGCAAAACTTATAAAGAGCTACAAAGGACAGGAAGATGTGGAGGGTTGTGATTGCCCATGTCCTGAAATGACATGGCCTATAGAAGAAGAAGAATGAACTTTGAGTAAATGGATGGTAGAACGGGGTTTAGGAGAAATAACAAAAAGGCAAAACTTATTAAGAGCTACAAAGGACAGGGAAGATGTGGGAGGGCCGTGAATGAAATGACATGGCTCATAGAAGAAAAAAGAATGAACTTGAGTAAATGGATGGTAGAAACAGGTTTAGGAGAAATAAACAAAAAGGCAAAACTTATTAAGAGCTACAAAAGGACAGGAAGATGGAGGGCCGTGATTGCCTATGTTCTGAAAAAATGACATGGCTCATAGAAGAAAATGAATCAGTAAATGGATGGTAGAACAGGGTTTAGGAGAAATAACAAAAAGGCAAAACTTATTAAGAGCTACAAAGGACAGGAAGATGGAGGGTCATGATTGCCTATGTTCTGAAATGACATGGCTCATAGAAGAAGAAGAATGAACTTGAGTAAATGGATGGTAGAACGGGGGTTTAGAGAAATAACAAAAGGCAAAACTTATTAAGAGCTACAAAGGACAGGAAGATGTGGAGGGTCAAGATTGCCTATGTTCTGAAATGACATGGCTCATAGAAGAAGAAGAATGAACTTGAGTAAATGGATGGTAGAACGGGGTTTAGGAGAAATAACAAAAGGCAAAACTTATTAAGAGCACACAAAGGACAGGAAGATGGGAGGGTCTTGATTATTTTATGTTCTGAAATGACATGGCTCATAGAAGAAGAAGAATGAACTTGAGTAAATGGATGTAGAACGGGGTTTAGGAGAAATAACAAAAGGCAAAACTTATTAAGAGCAAATGACAGGAAGATGTGGAGGGTCGTGATTGCCTATGTTCTGAAAATGACATGGCTCATAGAAGAAGAAGAATGAACTTGGAGTAAATGGATGGTAGAACGGGTTTAGGAGAAATAAAAAAGGCAAAACTTATTAAGAGCTACAAAGGACAGGAAGATGTGGAGGGTCGATTGCCTATGTTCTGAAATGACATGGCTCATAGAAGAAGAAGAATGAACTTGGAGTAAATGGAGGTAGAACGGGGTTTAGGAGAAATAATAAAAAGGCAAAAACTTATTAAGAGCTACAAAGGACAGGGAAGATGGAGGGTCGTGATTGCCTATGTTCTGAAAATGACATGGCTCATAGAAGAAGAAGAATGAACTGGAGTAAATGGATGGTAGAACGGGGTTTAGGAGAAATAATAAAAAGGCAAAACTTATTAAGAGCTACAAAGGACAGGAAGATGTGGAGGGTCGTGATTGTTTATGTTCTGAAATGACATGGTTTCATAGAAGAAGAAGAATGAATTTGAGTAAATGGATGGTAGAACGGGGTTTAGAGAAATAACAAAAGGCAAAACTTATTAAGAGCTACAAAGGACAGGAAGATGTGGAGGGCCGTGATTGCTCATGTTCTGAAATGACATGGCTCTTAGAAGAAGAAGAAGAATGAACTTGAGTAAATGGATGGTAGAACAGGGTTTAGGAGAAATAACAAAAGGCAAAACTTATTAAGAGCTAAGCAAAGGACAGGGAAGATGGAGGGTCGATTGCCTATGTTCTGAAAAAAAATGACATGGCTATAGAAGAAGAAGAATGAACTGAGTAAATGGATGGTAGAACAGGGTTTAGGAGAAATAGCAAAAGACAAAATTTATTAAGGGACATATATATAAGGGATAATTTTAATTTACACATCAAAAAAACCTCTTATTTCAAAAAAAACAAGATGGCAAATACACTCAGCATAACAGATAATGAAACACAAAGTATGTAGGTGTTGATAAAAATTGTTTACAAAAGGCGTTTAATATGTAAATATATATAAAACATTTTAATGAATAATATGGCACAGCTTTTTAAAATTATTTACTCAGGGATAGCTGCACTATGACATATTATACTCATGGATGTAATTTATTCCATGTGTTTAACTTCCAAAACCCAAAGTTGTATTAGACACAAGAAAATACACTATGTCATTATTTTCCCTTCAAGTTACATGTGATATCCATTTTGTTATTGCCACTTTTGGAAGTCCTCAAACAATGTAGTGGTTTCTGTTATTCGATACAGTTTCTTGTTTGTAATTCTGTGATGCCAGTCCATGAGGTTTGAAGAAGGATAGTCTTCCCTAAAAACGATACACGTCACTTGTTCGAAGTCATTTTTAAAAATTAATCTCTGAGAAAGTGGTTTCATAGAACACTGACAGTTTAGACATTTCTGAACAAGTTTGGTACCATGCTGGACATCCACATGAAAATCTTGATCTAATGAGATTATTTAAGAATAAAGGATTTAGGATAAAGTTTTGGCTTTGCAGCAACTTGTGGTATTATGTGAAACTACTCCTTTGTAGCCTATTCGATGTTCAATTTCCTTTTCTCCAATGCTAAATTTGTTATAGCTGATAAAGACACTGAGATATTTGAAGTGTTTAGTTCACTCCACATTCTGAATTTTTCTGATAGATTCAGGGTAGGTGTTTCTTTTTTAACCTTATCTTCTAATTTCTTTCATGTAGATCACTCCAAATGAGTTCAGCAAAATTCATGCTCTCGACAGTGCTTCAGACGTGGCATCAATGTTCAGCTTTCTCCTCCGTGTTGATCAAAGACATTGGACAGAGACAACCCGAAATATCTACCCACATGTAAGATCTTTCCAAGAATGGGTCACTAGTAATCAAAATATGCTGAGGAGAATTTTCTGAGACACTCTTTCTCTTTCACACACACACACTTATATATATATATATATATATATATATATATATATATATATATATATATATATATATATATATATATATATATATGCACGTGTGTGCATACTCACATGCATGATAAGTACATTAATGTTTTCTTACCTTTTATAGCTATCTGTACATGAATAAATATATTTTTTCCTTTCTTTTTTGTATATATATATATATATATATATCAAATATGTGGTGTTATTTATTACAAAATTTCATTCAAATTTTTTATATTCAAAACAATAAAAAAAATCATTTATACAAATGTAAATTAGTAAAGTTAATGACATAAAATTGCAAAAAATATCTTTTATAACTAAATTTTTAAAGATGCATTAAAGATGACTGAATATACAGTCAAAACTAATATATATATTTAATAAAATATACCTTATATAGCTTATATATATATATATAAAATATATATATATATATTATATATATATATATGATATATATATTATATATATATATATGATTATATATATATATATATTAATGCATCTATATATAAATTTTGTTAGTGATATATATATATATATGTTATATATTATATAATATATTTATATAATTTATATTATTTGTATGAATGATTCATTGTAATATATATATATATAATATTATATATATATATTATATATATATACACACATATATATATATATATAACACACACACATTATATATGATATATATACATATATATATATTATATAACATATATACATACACACATATACAACATACACAAACATATTATACACACACACACACACACACACAACACACACACACACACACACACACACACACACACACACATCATACACACACATCATACACACATACACATACTTCATATAATATACACATACATACATTATATATATACATACATATCATATATATACACATATTATATATATATATATTATATATATATATATATATATTATATATATATATATATATATATATATATATATATATATATATTATATATATAATATATATTATATATATATATATTATATATATATTATATATTATATATATATATATATATTATTATATATTATATATATATTATATTATATATATATATATATGCATATTTTTCTCATTGGTGACTATTATGGAGTTGGTAGGTAGGATTAGGCATTTGATTTTGTTATGGTGGTTAGGATTATTGCTATTTGTGGGTTTTTGTGTCTTGTATTTTTCTTCTATTGATTTTGTAGGCTTTGCATTTGGTGTTGTGCAGGAAATATTACAGGTTTTGGAGAAGTCTGAATGTGTTTCAGTGTAACCCTTTTTTCTGGCAGGAATTGAGGGCTACAGATTCTAAGGGCTTTTAAATAAAAGTCTACCACTCTGGATTTTGTTTTATTGTTGTGGTGTGATTAAAGGGGTATAAGTAAAGGGGTATGAGGTCATTATTATTTGTTGGTTTTTGATAAACCTTTAGGAAAATGTCATTGTGTGTGTGTGTGTGTGTGTGTATTAGCATAATGTCAAGATATAGTAAGGTATAGTTTTGTTCTGTTTGGTTGATAAAATTGATCTTGTTTTGTCTATCAATCAGTTCTGATAAGTGGTGTGTCATGTTAGTGTATTAGTAGGGCATTGTCAATATATCTGAAGTATGTTGTGTTTTTAGGAGAGTATGTTAAAGGGGTGGGCAAACTGTAAAATTCTAGGAAGAGGAGGCACTTTCTGTCTATAAAATTCCTGTTGAAAAGAAATAGCATTGGTTTATACTGAGATGACAAATTGCTATAATTTTGTCTGTTGATATTGGGAGGATGATTTTTGACTTTTTAAAAGCATGCTGGAGTAATGGATAGTGGCTTGGATTGAGGAATCGGAGAGCCGAGTTCGAATTTCAGTTGAATCCATTACAATCACTTACATGTTTGGGAAAGATATGAATCCTCTTCTACTTTCCCCGGCTATAGGTAATTAGCAGGACAGACTGGGTTCTATAGCCTTTGATGGAAACTGGTCTAGGAGAAGGACAACTTTGAATTCAAAACCTGCAGAGGGTCATTTGGGAACCTTGTGGCACGTAGTGCACCAAGTCTCTGTATTCGGCCCATCAAAAAGTGTGAATGTTTCTGCACAAAACTTTCACCACTATAATCAAATCTCATGTGCTGGTGTTGGGTTGTTGGTTCCTAGGAACTAATCTGTTTGACTCTCATACGTTGAATTCAACGGGAGATTTGAGTACATATATATATATATATTTATATATATATATATATATATATATATATATGCATACATTTTTTTCAAATGGTGTCTGTTATGGAGTTGGTAGGTAGGATTGTGATTGATTTTGTCAAGGTTGTCAGGATTATTATTATCAGTGGGATTCTTTTGTGTTTTTTGCATTTTTCTTCTGTGGATTTCGTAGTTTTTGTGTTTGGCATTGCACAAGAAATGATTTGGGTATTGGAGGAGTCTGAAGGTGTTTTCATATATTTTCTTCTTCGGCCAGAAAGTTCAGGCTATATTTGTATATGTAAATATATATATATATATATATATATATATATATATATATATATATATATATATATGGGATAACAATATATAAACTTTTATATATAAAGAACAGAAAGGTCTATGACAAAGTGGAAAAAGTTTCGTGTGACGGTTTTGTCCTTTAGGACTTCATCAGACTAAGTTTTTTTTTTTTTCCATTGATGGAACTATACATGCACATGAATGAGAGATGCTGGGAATTTTAAATTTCAAAAAATAATTTTTTTTTATTATGTGTGTTTTGAGTTTATATTAGCCATTACCATTTAGATTCTTTTATTTTTTGTTTCCATCATCTTTGTTATTAAATATGCCACATTTTGATAATGGAAGGTCTGCCCAAAAACAGTGAAACTTGGATGTAAATTTACTGTGGATGAACTTGTGATTGAAGTACTTTCTAAACATTTTCATCTTCAATTATTTTCTCTTTTAGAGTAGCATTTCTTATGTCAAAATTGTGGTCAGTTTCATTACAGTGAACTGTAATGAGTTGGTCGGTCAACTTGAAACCCCCAAAGCGAGTGGAGGTGGGCAGGCGCAGGAACTGTGATTGGTAGCTGGCTTGTTGGTGTTTTGCATAGGTGAGTTACCAAGCTCTATGTAAAGGGCTGGAATGAGAAGGAGGGCAGTTTTCAGTCTCAGAAGTGGAGACTGTGTCCGTCGCTACAACAGCAGGAGAGAAAGAGACAAAATCATTTTTTTTCGTGACACATTCCAACACATGAACCACCAGTGTGTTGTTTTTGAAGATGTCTATTCTGTGTTTATGTAATCTTCAGGCCTTATATATATATATATATATATAAACGAACATTGAAGTCAATACTTAGAGGCGACAGGCTGTTTCATGCTAGACACAATCATGGCTTGACAATTGCATCTAGCATGAAATAGCCTGTCGCCTCTAAGTGTTGTCTTCAATGTTCACTTTTATATTTACACACGTTCTATCTCTGATACTGAGCACTTTATAGAACACCTTAAGAGTATATTTCTTTATATATATATATATATATATATCTTAGACAATGTTTTCAAAAATATTTTTGTTAGAAAATAAACTTTAAAAAAAATTAAGATATTGTCATACTTTTCAAGGGAAATAACTCGAGGAAATTTAAGCGTGATCACTTTTCAAGGGGAATAACTCGTAATGACTCCAAAAGATGATGCAATATCTTTAAAAGATATACTTAAAATGAAAAAAAGAAAATTGTGAAAAACTGACACTTTCCCACACCTCACACAGTTCTTAAACAACTGTATGAGAACTTCCTTCAAAAACTTTTGTTTCAAGTACTGTAGAATGTCAACATCCTGATTACTGTATTTTATTGTGTATAATATGAGAAATTTTGAATGGAAATTAAAGGCAACAAAAAAAATGGTGGGGGTTGTACTATGCAAAAGTACACATTTTCAGAAATTTTTACTCCCTTTCTAAAAACTTCTTATTTGAAAACAACAAGATTTCAAATACACTCAGCCCAATAGATAATAAAACACAAAGTAGGCAGGTGTCGATAACAATTGTTTACAAAAGGTGTTTAATATGTAAATATATATAAAACATTTTAATGAATAATATGGCACAGCTTTTTAAAATAATTTACTCAAGGATGGCTGCACTATGACATCATATTATACTCATGGATGTAATTTATTCCATGTTTTTAACTTCCAAAACCCAAAGTTGTATTAGACACAAGAAAATACACTATGTCATTATTTTCCCTTCAAGTTACATGTGATATCCATTTTGCTATTGCCGCTTTTGGAAGTCCTCAAACAATGTAGTTGTTTCTGTTATTCAATACAGTTTCTTGTTTGTAATTCTGTGATGCCAGTCCATGAGGTTTGAAGAAGGATAGTCTTCCCTAAAAACGATACACCTCACTTGTTTGAAGCCATTTTTAAAAATTAAACTCTGAGAAAGTGGTTTTATAGAACACTGACAGTTTAGACATTTCTGAACAAGTTTGGTACCATGCTGGACATCCCCATGAAAATCTTGATCTAATGAGATTATTTAAGAATAAAGGATAAAGTTTTGGCTTTGCAGCAACTTGGTATTATGTGAAACTACTCCTTGTGTAGCCTATTCAATGTTCAATTTCCTTTTCTCCAATGCTAAATTAAATATTTTATTGAAATATATGTAAAATATTTTAATGAATAATATGAAACCGCTTTTTTAAATAATTTACTCAGGGATGGCTGCACTATGACATCGTATTATACCCATGGATGTAATTTATTCCGCGTTTTTAGCTTCCAAAACCCAAAGTTGTATTAGACACAAGAAAATACACTATGTCATTATTTTCCCTTTGAGTTACATGTGATATCCATTTTGTTATTACTGCTTTTGGAAGTCCTCAAATGATGTGATGGTTTCTGTT